GCAGTGTGAAACTATGGCCAGCGTAGCAGAAATTGATCGGTAGTAATAATTTTCTAAGAAAAAATACATTTGCATGGGTATAATTGTTCGCTGATGTATCACGTATTTTTTAACAGGAGCAGAAAGGACCTGGATAAATCTCGAATCGAAGGTGAAGAGAAGGCAGTTAGAGATGTGATTGACGTTATTAAATCAATGGTTAATCCTTTTGATAATGATCATGAAAGCTTGGTGCACATAGCAAGTGGAGTTGTTGCGTCTTCTGATATCGAGGATGACATGAAGCACATGGTAGACAAAGGAAAGACAGCATTTACTAGTTTTTTTGAGAATAATATTATTGGAGAAAAGCCGAACATATATTCAACCATCAAGAAGACTAATTTGAAGACATTTTCATGTTTGGGAAAGAAAGTGACGAGCAAGAACAGCAAAGGACAACTCCAAGGTGTTGTTTGCGAAGCTGCTCTTGATAGCAAAAAGTCGAAATCTTCAGTTGGACGATGTCTTCACGTATTCTTTAAGACCATATCCTTGCTCCATTGCAACCAGCGAAGGGGATCTTGTGAAAACATCAAAGTCAAAACTGGTTCATGCAATTGAAGAAGAAGCTCAAAACTCTTCCGTTTCTGATCTTCCTATTGACGACAACGCGTGTATTCTTGACGCAATGGCCATCTTGCAAACTTTGATGACGATACCAGATACGTTTGGTGAACTGACGGTTCAGTTGTTAACAAAGGTTGTAAAGATTGCCGTTAACTGCCACTGCAAGCGTGCTGACTTCGTTTGTGACCGGTATCCGCGCCAAAGCATCAAGAACCTCGAAAGAAATCGACGGGCAATCGATGGTGTTCAAAAAATTTCTATTTACAGCGAACATCAAAAAGTTCCGCGCCAATGGAAAAAGTTCTTGTCGAGCGGCGAAAATAAAGAGCAGTTGATGAAATTCATTTATCAATCATGGACAAAGGCCGATCCTCATCTCTTCAAAGATATCGAAGTATTTCTGTCGCACGAAGAAATGTGCCATAAGTTTTTTCAATCGAACAACGCATTGGTTTCTTGTGAAGTCGATGAGCTATGCTGCGATCACGAAGAAGCAGATACTCGGATGTTGGTCCACGCAAGTCATGCAAAAACATCATAATCAAGAGTCCTGATACAGACGTATTGGTGATTGCACTAAATGCATGCTTGGAAATTGATGCCAACATATACTTCGAAACTGGCGTTGGAAGTGCACGACGGATAATTTCCCTGAGTAACGTCAGAGAGTCCCTTGGGCATGAGTGGTGCTCTTCTCTTATTGGTCTTCACGCGTTCACTGGTTCGTAAATTATTTTGCCACTAGACCGTATTTCTCTATCATTAATATATTTATATTTTCTCTTTTTTAAGGTTGTGACACAACGAGCGCCTTTTACGGCAAAGGAAAAGTGTCTGTGTTGAAAGTTGCGAAAGCGAGAGAAGAATACTCCCACACCTTCTCAAACTTAGGCACCGAGTTAAATCCATCTGAAGACCTCTTCACTCAGCTTTACCATTTCGTATGTCATTTATATGGATATCAAGGATACTCAGATATTAATCGTGTACGTTATGAAATGTTTAAAAGTGGAAAGTTTGATGAAGAATTGTTACCACCCAATAAGGATTCACTCGACCAGCACATAAACAGAGCAAACTACCAGTGTTTTATCTGGCGCAAATCGACGCAAGCAATTTTGAATTTGCCATCTTTCTTCAACCACGGGTGGAAACTTGACGCAGAAGGCAACGTTTACGTTAACTGGATGATATTACCTGCCGCCCCTGATTCAATACTAGAGTTCGTAAGCTGCAAATGCAAGAAAGGATGCGAGAATAGAAGATGTTCGTGTGTCAAGGCCTCCTTAAGATGCAGCGATTTATGTTCGTGCACGGAGTGTCGAAACAAAAGCACTAATGGTGATGATGTGGAAAGCGATTCGGATGACTGTTACGATGACGGCAGCTCAAGCGAGAACGACGAAAACTAGAAGTAACCTTTTTCTTTTATATCACTAAGATTTAAAGATTGTCCGCCGGAATAGGTTTTGGAAAAAATTGGAAAAAAATGAAACACCTCTCACATTTACATACTTCAAATTTCCATACTGGAGGCTACGAATGTTAAAATAGGGAAACTGGGGTCGAGTGAGTCAGCATTCTGAAGCATGGAAAATAATTTTAATGTGACTTAAGATTATTCAAAATGGCGAAAATGTTGACAGAAGAGTTTGAAATGAGAGAATCTTCAAACGCATTTTTTAAAAAAACTGCAGGCGGTAGAAGTGGGAACTTTTCAGAAATGAACTCAGCACATAAAGTAAAGGTAAGTCGTGATAAATTTTTCCTGTTCCCAGCGGGGTGAAATGAAACATAAATTTTAGTACACGTTTTCAGGCCCAACATAAGGTCTATACGTGCAAACAGACGAAAGCTATTTTTGAATTTGCCGCGTAAACAGTAAACATATTTATAAACAATAAACAGATATATTCACAGTTTTAATACTCATCATTCCCGATAAACGAACGACGTTGATATAAATATATTATCGTGGTTATACTATAAACACTATGCAATATGAAATGTGATATTGACGTTGGCTATTAAAACCGTGGTCAAATTTTAGCATGGATTCAAGTTATTAATATATAATGAAGGAAACATCTGTACTCAATCTTAGGATTATGATATACTGAATCTTGGTTACTGGATATACAAAAGTTTTGATTAAGAATTAGGATGAAATAACTGTTATATTGCCTTTTAAAAAATTTTTACATGCATCCTTAGATGGTGGATTAACAAGTGGTGATGTTTAAGTCTAAACCTGTAATGAAAGAGGTCTCATTGGAAAGTAATATCTGTGGTAAGTAATGCATTATAAGGAATTGTGCAATGCTGTTAGATTATTCACCTAAGCATATGGCTTAGTTTTTAATATATAATATAGCTACCGGTAATTATATACTTATTGACCAATTGATTATATACCTATTTATCATGTGATAGATAAAAGGAAAAATCATTGAAAGCTTACCAGATGACTACCCTAATTTCATATCTGTAAGAGCATGCAAAACTGTGCATAGCATGCCAATGATATATTTTACACATATTATGCACTGCTTAGTTTCTTTTAACATTTGTTATTTTAATTCTGATATCTCAAAAGACTCAAATATGCTTGCTTTTTTGTTTTATTAGAAACATGGATTGAGGTGGTGAGCACGAAACTCAGTGGAAAATTTCCTATGCCAATGGTTAATTGGACCCACAGTGTTGCAGCACTTAATTTTTAAGGACAAAAATACTCCAGGTGATCTTATAAATATTTTCATGTTTGGGATGATATGTTAAGAACAGCTGGTCAATAATCAAAGGGGAACATTGCTCAGCAATGAATGACTTTAGCTTATGTGTAATAATTGAAGACATGCAGTGAGTTTGCATAGATATGCTTGTCTTCTTGCATGAATATTGTTATTCAACTACTTCTGGGTTCATACCAGGGCTTAATTTCATTATCTGGAGCTTTATCGGATACTTTCCTAAACTTGCAAATTGGCAATTTTTAATTAAGTCCTTGAAAGACTTGTTTATTTGAGCACTAGTGTGAAGCTACCACAGGATTCACCACAGGATTCGCGCTTCCTCCCAGAACAACAAAATCGAACATATGCGAAGCTAGCACGACATTCATCCGCACTAAATTCGATACGTAAACACAATATATTATGTCGTATTTTTGTGGGTAGCCTGCGCATGCGCGGCCAACCACTATGTAGTCGAAAAAGTGTCCGGATCTGTGTGTGTGTGTTTGTGGCGATCGTCGGATAATCTTCGGCAATCGTCGGATATACGAAAGATGACGAACGGTACGTTCTACTTCCGGAAAATTGCGTTGTTTTCGAAGGACGGAAGCAGCGTTAATACGTTTGTCAAATTTTAAAGCGAAGTTGAGTACATTAGAGACGAAAAAGCGGTGATCGGTGAGTGTTGAATCTACAACTACAAAGTTACACTAATAGAAAATAAATAAAACATTGCCTTATTCGGCAAATTGTAGTAACAAGTTGCCCTGTTTTATAAATTATAATGCAATATTTCACCTGTCAATTTCTTGCTTGTGGACATGCAGCTATTAAACCAAATACATTACCTTATTGCAAATGGTAGTAACAAGTTGCCCTGTTTTATAAGTTATAATGCAATATTTCACCGGTCAATTTCTTGCTTGTGGACACGCAGCTATTAAACCAAATATTTTACCTTATTGCAAATGGTAGTAACAAGTTGCCCTGTTTTATAAATTAAAAATTATTATGCAATATTTCACCTGTCAATTTCTTGCTGGTAGACATGCAGCTATTAAACCAAATACATTACCTAGTAACAAGTTGCCCTGTTTTATAAAGTATAATTTGGCAAATGGTAGTAACAAGTTGCCTTGCTTTATAAATTGTAATTCAATATTTCACCTGTCTTTCTTGCATGTGGACATGCAGCTATTAAACCAAATACATTACCTTAATGCAAATGGTAGTAACAAGTTGCCCTGTTTTATAAGTTATAATGCAATATTTCACCGGTCAATTTCTTGCTTGTGGACACGCAGCTATTAAACCAAATATTTTACCTTATTGCAAATGGTAGTAACAAGTTCCCCTGTTTTATAAATTAAAAATTATTATGCAATATTTCACCTGTCAATTTCTTGCTGGTAGACATGCAGCTATTAAACCAAATACATTACCTAGTAACAAGTTGCCCTGTTTTATAAAGTATAATTTGGCAAATGGTAGTAACAAGTTGCCTTGCTTTATAAATTATAATTCAATATTTCACCTGTCTTTCTTGCATGTGGACATGCAGCTATTAAACCAAATACATTACCTTAATGCAAATGGTAGTAACAAGTTGCCCTGTTTTATAAATTATAGCTAGACGAATCCTTTATTTGCATTCTGGTCGAAATACATAGAAATGGTGCAGTTACTTTTATTGTACATAAGAGCAACACGAACTACCAACTGGAGTCTTCATCTAAGTGCTCTGCGATCTATGATTCCATGGTTTTTTGTAACTGATCGTGTCAATTATTCACGTTACGCACCTTGTTATTGGATGGAAATGATGCGGTTGGAACAAACTAATCCCTGTAAGTATGATTTCAACTTTCACACTCAAAAGCGTTATTCTAATAATCTAATATTTTTATTTTTTATTAATTAGACGTTGCCCACAACATTTCAAATAACTGGACCGTACAAAGGCAAGATCGATATTCGTTCTCCGGTGTAGCATGCGATCAAACGATCGAGCAGACTTTAAACAGGTTTGTCTATCCTCCCAAACAGTCATTCAAAAATAAGTTAAAATTCGCAGCATGACCGGCAATAGCACGAGGTGATAATTATGACAACGTTGTCTTTTTATAGAGACTCCAAACTGAAAGGAGGGTTAGTTGGAATAACATTGAATAAAGGCACTGTGCACCGCTGGTTGATGGGGCAGGCAGAAAGAAGTGCGATAACAAGGCAGTGTGAAACTATGGCCAGCGTAGCAGAAATTGATCGGTAGTAATAATTTTCTAAGAAAAAATACATTTGCATGGGTATAATTGTTCGCTGATGTATCACGTATTTTTTAACAGGAGCAGAAAGGAC